TTGGAATTGCCCTTTTTAAATCTCTTTAGTTTTAATAAAAATGTGTTCCTTTAATGGAAGTGGTGTTACTTATGTTTGTTGGGACATGTAGCAAAATTTCAATTTCAGATTTACATAAACCCTTGTTGAAGGGGGATGGTAGTAGATGTTGTTAAACCCATTTGTATGTGATATCAGTAAAAGTCATTACAATATCATGACCTTATATGAGACTATATACTCTCTCTGTCCCACAATATAGTTTCTGTTTTCCTATTTTAGAGACCCAAAATGTTGTTCCTGTTTTCCTATTTTTGAATAGTATGTAAAGACCATTATACCCTTATTTTTTACTTTATTCATTGAACTTCCTAATTTACCCTTAACTTATTCACTTGCATTGTACTTTTTTCACTTTCTCTCTCTAACTTTTGTCTATAATTGTACTTTTCACTTTTTTCCCCTTAAATTATCCATCTTGCCTTGTACTTTTGTCTAGCTTTTTTCTACTTCTCCTCTCATTTCTTAAATACCGTGAAAAAAACACAATAGAAACTATTTTATGGGACGAAGGGAGTATAAGATATGGTATTGTCAGATCACAAAGAAATGTGATTGACATGTATGAAGCATAGATCTCAAGAGGAATTTATCCATTTGAATTATTGGGGTCCCTTAGGGTAAGACATACTGATTTTGGGTTGTCTCCGTCATTTCAGCAACATTCATAAACTTTTAATTGTATGTTAGAAAATACCTTGCACAACACGAAACACTATCACCAACTTCCCTCGTTCTATCAATAGTCCCATCACATGTTTAAATGTATATTGGTAAGCCTTATATACGTTGTCCTCACTCGTTGTAATACCTTAAAGGTAAATATCGTTAATGACCTTAATTGATATTGTGCAAGGGCTTCTTATGCCAATAGTAACTTATGTTACTTACTGTCCTTTCGTTTGTTGTAAACTAAGTTTAATTAATGTAATTTCAACTGTTTTTTTTTTAAAAAAAAAATCTAAAAAACTTACACAAGAATTGATACAAGCTTTAGTGTATTAAAATTTTTAAAATATGTTTACATAAAACCTTTATAAAATTAGACGATGATATAAAGATTTAACCCATATTTATAGTGAAACGCTAAACATCGCCCGCAATTTACCATATAAAGCCCACAAATATGATATGGTTTGACCATTATGCCCATTTTCTAAAATTGCAATAATCTCGGTGTAAAAAATGTGGAGCCGTACTGGCTCGCCGGGGGAGACCGGAGGGCAGGCCGGAGATGCGGGGGACGCCGGAGGTACGTCGTCGTCGACGGAAAACGAGGTAAGTCACCGTTAAAATTCACGATTTACCGTCGGAGTGGCTCCGGCGCCTAGGATGGACGCCCAAACCGTAGCCTGGACGTCCAAGCCAGACGCCAGAACCACCAGGAGGAGTTGGAGCAGTTTCGTTCGATGTACGACCGAGTGTCCTCCAGCCATCCTTCTATTATTCGTGACGCTACTCACGTACTTCATGACATGTTCCACCCGTCTACCTTAGATTATGAGGAACCCGAAGGAGTTGACCGTCCTCGAGGTCGACAACGGCTGAACAGGAGTGCGTTTGAGTATATCCGTGGTCTTGGTCGTGGTCGTTCTCGTGGTCGGACATCGTCATCTAGTCGTAGTCAATCTTCATCGTCTGTGAATATGCCCCTGAGAACTGGTACGTTTTGGTTGTTTTTATTGCACATAGTTTTAAAGTGTTACTCCTGCCTTCTTAACTGTCTATAATTATATGGTGAATAGGAAGAAACGATGTTGATCAGTTTCCGTACAAGGAAAGGATACCTGCGATCATCATGTCGTACTTGGGTCGTCATACAGACATTTCATCCGACTAGACATGTCAACCGATTTTCCAGTGCCACCGATTATACCTCGGTGGTACAACATTCGCACAGCGAGCGTAGAGGGTTGGGATGCGCTATATCATGACCGGATCCACGAATGGAACACCCTAACTGCATTTTAGTTTTTCATGTTTACATTCTTTATTTGTAATCTTATTTGTACGTTGCTCTTTTAATGAGAACATTAATATTTTATATTGTATTGCTTACTGCATTCTATATGTTGCATGGGTAAGTTGCACGGATCCACGAACGGTTATATCAAAATTTAAAAACAGCACTGATAATATGTTTAAGTTGGAAGCTAAAAGAACAATCTAAAATGTTACAATCTTACAACATAATGCTCTATAAATAAAATACAATAACCATCAGTAATCCCTCCTCGACGACGACTCCCACTGCGCAAGGGTCTGTTCCAGACTATCAACAACAGCTCTCCCTGTTGCACTCATGCTGTCCTTCTCAAGAGAGAGTTTCTGTACGTCCTGCATTATCTTTCCCATCCACTGCATACAACAAAAAACAGAAGATGAAATACAATAACAACATATAAAACTTAATTAAAAGACAACGATAAATATAATAAAAGACATACCGCTTCCGTGGCAGTAGGCGGTGGCACATAATCATCATCGCTGTGGTCGAGATCTGCGATCAACCTCGGGTGCGAATACTGGTTGAACCATTCCATGTAGTAATGGTCACACATGGGAGTAACCCCAGAGGGCGGCCGCTGCAACTCCGCAGTCCATAAGCGGGCCACCATCGGAAACTGGTCCCACGTCCCGGTCATGATATCCGACCATTGCACGACGTAGTCCCTCGACGATGCAGGTCGGACCGCCTTCATCGGGCATGCCGGGGGAGGAGGGACAACTTGGACAAATCCAAGCTGGCGAAGACAACGCTGGGGCATGTACGCCTCGACGATCTCACGATACTGAATGAGTCCTGTGTACAGGGTCCTGGGTACCCTAACACTAGGGTTCGGGCCGAAAGGCATCCAGTTCACCTGTACAATAACAACATATAAAATTTAATAACATGAATATAATATGTGCAAATAATAAAATGTAGACTCTATAAATAAACGATACCTCTAAGGGGGACAGCCTGTCCAGCAACAACCGTATCGATCGGAGGCGGTCAACGGACTTCTTCTCCGAGCGCGGACTCCACGCACAAGCACGCGACATCCCCTCATCAATAGGAACTGGGTCACGATGTGGTCGCAATGCAGGAAAGTACTCGTATATCCAGGTCTGCAATAGAGTCAGACACCCAGTGATACCTGCCGCGTCAGCCCGACTCGCAAATCCTAGTTGGCGATACAAATACGCCAACGTAGCCGATCCCCAGGAAAATTGGCCTACACTGTCGGGGTCACACGCCTCTACTATGTCGCGTGGCCTGAGCTTGTTTCCGCCGCTCTTATCCGGAAACAAGGTACATCCGAGGAGTAGAAAAACATAAGCACTCAGCTGTGCGTCGGGCGTCCTACGTGCACTGGGGTACAAACACCGCTGCAACACGGATGCGATCTTCACACCTCCGTGTTCCCAAACACCTAGCGCCTCGGTGTACAGTGCAGCCCTGTCCACCGCCAACAACTCCGCCAGCGAATCTGCCTGATCCGCATCAGCCACAGCACAAAGTCGTTTACCCTCAACACGAATCCCCAGAATGGCCTCGACGTCATGTAACATGATCGTCATCTCACCGAACGGAAGGTGGAAAGAGTTTGTATCCGGCTGCCATCGCTCAATGAAAGCCGTGATCAGCGTACTGTCAATCTTATCGTGCATGGTGGCAGGAACGTGATTCACCCCAGTGCCCTCCAGTCGCTCGAACATCTCGCTCTCCGCCGGCCAGGCCTCAGCCCATGTACGCAAAAAGCTACAAGTCTTTTCCCGGGTATGACATTTCAACAACCCCGTAACTGAAGGCCTCTCCTGGTCCTCCCAAATACGGGCAGCTATGTGTCCTAAAAAGCTAGGAATCACACTCCCGTCAACAGGCCCACCGGGCACCTCACTCCTAACAACCCAAGAATCATTACCGGCCCTCGACCGTTTCCTGCTTGCCCCAGATACAGTGGACGCAGATGATGTGCCAGATCTACTAACAAACCTACCACCCCTACCCTTACGCACCTCCACCATATGTGTCTCGTACATGTCATCAACCCTCTGACTGAATGGACCGTAATCATCATACGGTCCACTGCCATCGTCCACATCCTCATCCTCATCTGCGCCCTCCTCCTGCTCCTCCTCCTGGTCACCCTCCTCAGCATCATCATCGTCATCGTCATCCTCATCCCGACGGTGGATCCGTTCTCTACGAGCTGAGGCCGAAATACCACGGGATCTGACATGTCTATGCCCCGACCTCTCCACTGAATAGCTTCTACTAAGAAGCTCTATATTCTTCCCCGCACCATGACGACCCAGTGAATTCTACACAAAATTTTAAAATATATAAACATACAAAAATTTATACGAAAAATAGCTACCACTCCCAAATCAAATAAACTAAAAACATACAAATAATTGTAAACAAAATATAAACATAGAAAAAATACAACGAAATTGAAAAAATTTATAAAAATAAACAACAAAATATAAAAACAATTCAAAAATATATTACAAAAAAAAAAAAAAATTAAAAACAATTTTTTAAAAAATATTAAAAAAAAGGGGGGGGGGCGCCCTGGCTGGACGCCCAGCCAGCGGTGGTAGCGCCAGCTGCAGACGCCGCCACCAGTGGGCTGGCGCCTGGGCTGGACGCCATAGCCACGGCTGCGGCGCCTTGAATAAACGCCACAACCGTGGCTATGGCGTCCAGCCCAGGCGCCAGCCAACTGGTGGCGGCGTCTGCAGCTGGCGCCACCACCGCTGGCTGGGCGCCCCACCGCCGTCACGGCGGTTTTTCCCTTTTTTTTTTTTTTAACAAAATGTATCTTTCCTCCTTGGGACATCTTTCCCTCCGCCGCCGCCGCCAATTCCTTGCCTTGCCGCCTCGACATTGCCGTTGTTTGAATTTTTTTTTTTTTTTTAGAGAGGTTGAAAGAAGATGAGCAATGAGAGTGTGAGTGATGAGAGTGTGAGTGTTTTTTTTAAGGTCAAGGGCAATTTTGGCAAACCAAGTGAATTTTGTGGGCTTTATGTAGTAATTTGTGGGCGATAGTTTAACAAATCCCTATTTATAACTATGGCGAGTCATGGCTTTTAAAGGCCTCCATTCCTATTTCCTACCTCTCTGAGTTATTTCATTGAAGTGCACTCAACGTTCTCCATTGAAGCGTTCTCCTTAGCATCTGATTCTTGTATCCCCCATTGAAGCAGCTTCTAAGGTAAGTTGTTTGTTGTTGTTATCATCATATCAATTTCACAATCTAGGGTTTATATTTGATCTAATCTAATTTAATTATCAGTGCTTTAAGTTTAGGGTTCGAAAATTCTTAGATTATGAAACATCATATCCAAAAGAAAAGAAAATTATGAGCATAATTTGATTATTGAATCAAATATCCCTAAAATTATGTATTTTTCGAGATAATTCAAAATGAAATCAAATCTCTTTTCCCTGGGCCTAGGGCGGCCGCCCCTCCTGCCCTGGCTCAGGGACGGGCCTGATTAGCTAGATTGCACTCCCGGTCACGAGGAAGAATGAAGAGAATGAGCAATGGCTAATGGGATTAACCTGTTTGCCCCTCTTTTTTATACTAGCTATTTAGAGCACAATATTGGTTAGGCCCCTTTATTACACAATTTAGAATCATCACTTTATTTTACTTGTATTGCTTTTCGCTCACTCCTTTTAGTATTGCTAAGCGAACAAAGGCTTGATTCTTCGTTGTCTCCTTGGTTATGTAGTAAGCCGCCTTGGTAGAATGGTGTAGGGATGAATTGGTGTAATTAATATTTATACATACATTTTCATACAAACATCTAATGAGATCATTTGCGTCTCATTGAATGCTTAACTACGTAGCGCCTTATGAATTCAACTTTTCGTGTCCATCAGTTCTCTTTTGAATGGTCCTCTCTACAGCTGCAAGAAATATCTTCCGCGTTTTAAGAGTTGATGGGAGCTCAAAGTTTGCTTACAAGACTTTCTACAAGTGCATTTGTGCCATCTTTTAAGGACTTTAAAGGCTCATTGTCAGATACATCAATCCCTTGTTTTCTTCAACCAACCAAATGGAGTTCTATGCCAGCCGATCAAACATATGGTTTATCAACTTGTAGAATTAGGAGTAGTAGAAGACAATTCTTATGTTCAGTCAGCTCCCGTAAAGTTGAAGATATTTCTGATGATTTAGCACAACGCAGTTCAAAGCCTAGCAGGAAAAGGTTGGCAGTTTTTGTGTCCGGTGGAGGTTCTAATTTCAAGGCAATTCATGAAGCAACACTCAATGGATCAGTACTTGGAGATGTAGTTGTGTTGGTTACCAACAAAGGAGGTAAAATATCACATCTTTTACTTTGGCATTGACAAGAATATGAACTCCTGTAGAAGATCATTTTTCCCCATAGTTCACTCTCACCCTTTTTTAATCTATGTATTTTTGTATTTATGTGTTTCATTTTGATACTATCTGCCTCTTAAGAAGTGTAGAGTTCTGTTTAACATTCTTTAGTGTTCATGCTTCCATTTAATGTGTTTCATATTTTCTTGATGTATAGCTATTTATCACCAACTTACTTGCTAGCTTACTCATTCAGAAAGCTTTGAAGATGTCATCATTTGATTTGCTTATAAATAACTAGCTTTGGGATGTACTGTGTGTGAATGACAGGCTGCGGAGGTGCAGCCTATGCAAAAGAAAATGGTATTCCAGTTGTTTTGTTTCCAAGAACAAAAGAAGAATCACAACAATTTTTATCCAGTGACCTTGTAACTACTCTTAGGTTAGTTTCTTGATAATACTCTATTTGTTTTACTACCCGGGATCATTATTCTCTTCCTAATTCCAAATAGCAGACTTGATTATTCCTTAACCAAGAGTTGTGTAAAGTTTATTTCTTGTTGCATAAAACTTGTTATTTTCAGTTTGCTTAATAAACATGTATATGTACCTCCTCCATATATTTAGTTCTTCCACTTTGACTTTTAAGTGTGACAATGTACAACTTTGACTTTATAACTATATTTTTGTAAAACATGTAAAAAGTTGATATTTTAAAAGTATATATTGAGTCACGTACATAATTACATTTGTATTTTATATAGTAGTGAAATGTATGGTCAAAGTAGGGTATATAAAACTGCAAAAATCAAAGTAGAGCAACTAAAAAAGAGGGAACTCTAACTGATTGTTGAAGCTTTGATTATTAGCATCTTGGGCATCAATACTTAGTGATGACAATATATGGTCAATTTTAAGTGTTAAATTTTATAGAGTGGGAGATTGAGTTTGGACCAGAAGAGTATGTGATTGCAAAATGTAGTTTTTTTTTACATTAAGTCAATTCTTCTTTATTAAATGTTTATTGTACGAGATATTGGCATGAAGAATAAAAACTTTGAACGCTTGGTTGGTCTGGCACTAGTACTAATATGTGTCTTTTGGGGGGAAAGATACAAGGGGCTGTTTGCTACGGGGTAAACAAGTAAAGAAAAGGTAAAACAATGCTTGTGTCTCCCTTTTATGTTATTTAGTTGGTTTTCTACCATTTCTATATTCCCTTTTTAGTTTCGGCTCAACCCAAATATCCCTAAACCCATCCCCCTCTCCCAAGGGTTTTGTAATTCCCCCATTATGTATCTCTATAAAAAAAAAGTTTTATCCATTCATCCTATGTGATGCAGATTCATTCACTCTTTTCTTCAACACTTTCACTTCATGCTCTATGTTATGCGATGATATCCAAGAGAGAGAGAGAGAGAGAGAGGGGTATGGTGGAAAAGAACCAAAAATGAAATCAAGTAAATTGTGTAGAACATAAAGGCAAAGTGATTAAAACAAGAAAAAGAATAGTATAAGGCAAAGTGATTAAAACAAGAAAAAGAATAGTATAATACAAAATCATTTCCATTTAAACTGGGTATGCTCACTTTCACTCCATTATTGATGTAATTCCATGTGTGTGTGTTTGATACTTTGATCATCCACTTTGAGGTCAAAAGTTTTATCTTAAGATTTGTAAACTATATTAAGGCTTCTGAAAATGTCTAGAATACCTCTCACAAGATCACCTAATTTGGTTTCAAAATTTAATAAATCTGGCTACTATAAGTCCACCTATAACTTTTGATGTTACTTTTCCCAAATGGTTCATGCCATATTAATTCTGGCTTTGAATGTAAGATATTTGATGTGCCCCTTCTACGTTTCTGAGGCTATTTCCGCAATAGGATTTTGGTTTGAAGATCTTGTTTCTTTGTGAATGTACTTAGTGAATCAGTTTTGAATTTTATGCAGGGAACTTGAAGTGGACTTCATACTTCTTGCTGGATATTTGAAGCTTATACCAGTTGAATTGGTTCAACATTTTCCTAAGCGTATACTAAATATACATCCTTCACTTCTACCAGCTTTTGGTGGCAAAGGCTATTATGGGCTCAAGGTTCATAAAGCAGTTATTGCTTCTGGAGCAAGGTAATATTGCCTTTCGGAATTATATTGTAGGTTACTCGTGATTTATATTACTTATATTGCAAAAAGTGTAGAATTTATATTGCATTTGTTGGTTTTTAGCACATTCAAATCACACATTAGATCATCATGAAAGAAAGAGGAATCTGATCACGTGTTTTCAAGACAGCTGCCTGTACTGCTGTTCACTATGAACTTTCGATGCCAATGCTGTTATTTGGATGGGTGCTCAAATATATCAAAAGTTAATGAGAATGGTCCATTTACTAAAATTTAGATGTGTGATGTGAAATTTCTACATTAATTTTTCCCTTGATTATGTTTGAATTACCCAGATATGTGATCACGGTTTGATTTTAGCCAGTTGTTTTTTTAGCATAGCTCTAAATGGAAGTGCAAGTGTTATATTTTTCTTTGGAGTTTGACTTTAAGCTTACAATAGTCTTCTTGAATACTCTTTTCTTGTCCAGATACTCTGGTCCTACTATCCATTTTGTTGACGAGGAATATGACACTGGCCGGATCCTTGCCCAGCGAGTTGTGCCTGTGTGTGCTTTTGACACTCCAGAGGACTTGGCAGCTCGGGTTCTGCATGAGGTAATGTTAACTTGAGGGACTTTGTTACAAAATTAGTCTGCAATAAGGGTAATGCTATGTAATTGTAAGTATGATTATATCCAAATTACCGAAGTTTGTGTCTAGACTGTCTACAGCTATGAACCTGCATAGTGGATTTTCAAGTCTCTTGATTTCATCAGAAGAATATGTCCTGCTCAAATAAATCTGTTTTATATCTTATGCAAAGTCCTTTTTTGTTTTTTAACAGGAGCATCAATTATATGTGGACATAGTTGCAGCATTATGTGAAGACCGGATAATTTGGAGGGATGATGGTGTTCCGCTTATCCAAAGTAAAGAAGATCCACAGCAATACAATTAGGTTAGCTTTGGCTTGCAGGAGATCAACCCCAGGGCAGATCACATATTGCTTATGAAAATGAGCCTTTCTTATTTTTTTGGGCACATTCTGACAAAATTTTAGCGCCCTTTTATATCAAAATAGAGCTTCTAGGATTCGATTAAGAAATTTCTATTACTGACCATCTGAGAATTGTACCAATATTATATACTTGTATCCCCTATAATTAATGTATCTTGAAGCTGTATTATTCCAATCTATTTTGGGATTGATCGGAACGAGGAATGACGATAAACTGACCATTTTTGAGATAGCCATTGAACACTGTAAGGTTCCTATAATGATAAATTAGCAGCTGAGTTTTGGTTTTACTTCCTATATTATGGCAATTGGCAAATGCGAGGTACATTTTCTCTACAAATGTGTTACTCATCACATATGCTTACTGAACTACTGTGGCAAAAATGAAGGAGCTCAACACTTTCCTCTAAAAAACTACTCGGTACTTAGTATTATTTGTATACTCCAGATAATATTTCCTTCACCACAAAGATCAACACCAAGTCTTTTTTTTGTCTTTTTTTTTTTTTTTTCTTTTCTTTTGACAACAGGATTGGGGTTACAAATGCTATGAACTGCTAAGCAATGCAAACAAGGGGGATGAGAAGATCCATCTCCAGAACTAGCCTTAAGCTATTCCAAATTTGTTCCCTTGTGCTTCTTGATCCTGTAAAAACAACGACGGGGATACCTTTTACCTTTCTTGTTCTTCACCCTTGACCTGATTGGTCTTCCATTTTTTCTTGACATGGTAGAGAACGTGAAGGTAGAGAGTGGTGGAGAGAACTGCACTTGGTCGGATTCAACTGTCATGGGGTATTGTCGTTAGAGCCTATTGATTCTACTTCATCGATATCAGTGGTAGTTAAATATCTCGCAGGTAACTCGATCCCCTCCTCGATAATCGAACCCTCATTGTTGCTAGAAGTTAGGCTAGTAGGTATATGATCATCCAACTTCTCAACGGCAACAATGTTAGGCTTGGGTGGTCTGACAACTTGGTTGACCTAGGCAACGTCCAGGGGTCGTTTGGCCTTTTTCATTTGGCCCTTTCAGTTGCGACACCTCTTTTTAGGACCCACCATCCTAGTGGGCGTGAATAAGGTTTCATGAACTTTGGTTTCCTTTGCTTTATGAGGTTCAGGATGCCCATTATAGGTGGTCTTTTCCTTCACTCGTACAGTCATCCATGATAAAGAATAATGCTTAAAGAAACTCAAGGTTTTCCCTTGTCTGAGATCTGAATAAGATAAATCGGAAATCTTAAGGGATTGATTATTTCTCGATCCATTGAGGAAAATATGAGATTTCCTCCGTCCCTTGTCCATATCATGTCTAGAATCCTGGTTGTTCAGAGGGCTAGTAGCATCATCGTCCCCCCTTTCCGAAAGGGTAAGGACATTGGATGTAGTGATAAGGCTCTCTACCGTCATCTCATTAGCAGCATACCGTCATCTCATTGGCAGCATCCACGGTGGGTAAGGCTGTAATATCACTCCGAGCATCGCTACTGGGCAACCCGAAATAGTCTAGACTGAGAGAGGGGTTGTTAATTTTCCCCTTTTTGTTGAAGATGATGTGGGGTAACTCGGATTCCTCAGTGCCTCACTTTCCCTTGATCTTGCTAGCTTGTCTTCTCAACCCCTCCACCTTCTCCATCTCGCGAAGGATGTCTTGATTTTTAGGATCATTCTTGGCTGCTTTGCCAAGATCTTCATGGGCCTTTTCGAGCTGATAAAGCTTGATATCGGCTAAAGCTCTCCTATAATGGGCTTTAGTATTGTTAGCATCAAGCATAATGACTAATGAGCAGAGCTCCTTAGTCTGTTTGAAATCCCGGACTTTTAGGGCGCAAGGTGCGAGGTTTAACTTAAGGGATATGGCAAGATTCCATTAAAAAAAGGCACAATCATCTTCATCTCTTGGTAGACAAAAGCACAAAAGTTTCAGCCCTCTGTCATACTTAGCCCCAGCAAGAACGACTTCACCTTTCTTGAAGTAAATATTGCCCTCCTCCTTTAAATCTTTTGCTTGATTAAGGATGTTTCAGGGACAATTATTATTGGCAAAGTTGACAATGCTTTCGTCAAAATCATCGTTCAAGTGGGTGTACGTAAGGACGTTAAGTAAATTTCGGCATTCCATAACAAACTCTCTAACCCGAAAGGAAAATGATTAACAACTTCACGAAAAGGAAACACACAAACAGAACCAACACAAAAAGAACCAAAGTGAAACAGACCCTAATTCCAGGTCGTAAACAAGAGGGATTGAGCAGAGCTACAATATCCAAGCTCAACCACAAACCAACACTACAACATAAAATAACAAAACTGCCAAAGAAGCGAAGGAGGGGTTGTTGCAGTCAAGCGGTGGTCCTAGACAAAGAGGAGCAGCCAGGGGCGACAAGCCGACAACCGTCTTGAGACCCGATGCGAGAAACCGGCTGGTCCTAGACAAAGGCGATGGGCGGCCGAGATCGCAGCTCGGCCCGTTGATCGGATCTCCCTCACAAGCCCAGCTTTCCTCGACCAACGAGGACGCAAGACAATCACGATCTGGGCAGTAATGGACTCGCCGACGATCGAGAGGGGGGACCACCTACTCTCATCGCAGGCGGCCCGCCTGGGTTGGCAGAAGGGGGCTGGTTTTTGAAAACTAGGGGCTTGAAGAAGTATTCAGGTTTTGGGGCTTGCGCGTGGGGCGCGTTCTTTTGTCCAATTATTGATATAAAGTTATCCACCAAGTCATTAATACTACGTAGTTACTTTTATTTTGTACATTACAACTATACCCTATCGCTATACTTAGCTGGGCAAAACTACCTATGTTGATTAATTAATAGTAAATAAACTGCAAGTAAAACTTCAGATACACCGCATGTGAAGCCTGGATTACCCTGCCATAACTCAAAACCATATTCTTCGTATATTCTTTTTATGCAACCCCATATATATTGTATGTTACCCCAACTGATGGAACATTGAAAGCGGATGTTACAATGGGAATTTTACGTTATTCTGCTCCATCTTTACTACAATACTAGTACAGAGACTAAACCTAAAATAGTGGTACAATTGCTTACACGGGTTGCTAGTAAAAGTACAACAACAAAACGTCAAATCTACTATTCCAACATTGAGGGTGATTCTCTTTGAGTAGGACTAACACTACCTCCTCGACTAATCTTGAGTGCTCTTATTGCTTTCTGTATTTCCATCGTCATAGCACTGTCTACACTACCTGATGACAGTTTCTTATGTGATTTTTGCAAATGAAGTTTTAGTGAACTACTGCTCAGCCCAACATTCTTCCCGCATATAGGGCAAACTTTCATGGAAGGTTTCCTCTGTTGCCACTCCATTGATACCTTCCCATGCAGTGATTTATCCCAATCCTGCAAAATCTTAGCAAACCCATCATTTGGCTGGGCTCGCCGGTGAGCTTTCTTCAGCTTATTCCATGCTTCTAACAAAGTCAAGTTCCTGTATCAAAATAAACCTGTAGGTTATTCTCAGAAACCCACATCAAGTTTATAATCACTAGTGTTGTTAGTTTTCTTGTCTTTTTAATTGTGCGCAGGAGGCAGCAGGGCAATAGATATGAATTTCAGGCAATCAGACAGGAAAAGTGTATGGATATCCATGAAGATCAATAGAATGACAAGGACAGTGGCGAAAAAGTAATCAAGGGTGCAACTACTTTCATGACAGGCATGAGTTACAAATCTTCAATTTACAGGGCACAATAGTACTCGTATCAATTTCGACTTACTTCTTCTGCATGAGATAGGCAAGAACCACTGTTGCGCTTCTACTTCTTCCTTCAAAGCAATGAACCAAAACCTTCCCATTTGTTTTCTCAACATTGTCTATGAAGTCGCAGGCTTCGCTGAAAATACTACTGATGTTTGAATTTTCCTCATCACTAATCTGTCCCATTAAGTAATACAGCATGAAAAGCTGAAAAAATAAGCATCCCCAAAAAATAACTAGCATTCAGTGTACTTAACAAATAATGGGTGTATTGATGCACCATCAACATATTTTCATATAAGAGGGAACTTACAAAGAAGGCAATTACGATTAATTTGTGATGCAGTAAACATCGTGTTTAAGTTCTTTTACCATGTATAAACTAAGTTGATACCGTCACATCTTCAATTTCTTGACCATGCATGTTTTGTTAAGAACAACTGAGAATATGGACTAATCTACTTAGAATTCTTTACAGAAAATATGCTCTATAATCACGGTCTCTTTTGTGTTCTTCAATTAAGCTAAAGTAATATAATTCCTCTGTTCCAATTTAATTCCAAGCTCCAACCTATGTTGCACAGACTCGGATTAGGGTGTCGTGTCTAACATGGTGTCGGATCCTCCCACACTCCAAATTTTATATAATGCAGTAGCATTTACATGTCGTGTCATGTCAAAGTGTTGGAGGATCCGACACACGACATAAAGCAAGGGGTCGGAAGTAACATAGCTTCCAACGGACAACAATTTCACTTTCACGTTTGCCGATGCATAACTTGACCATTGATATCTTCAATTATGATTAAGTGAAGATTATAATAAGTTGATACTATAAAAGTATATATTGAGACGAATCTAATAAGATCACACTTGACTATACATTGCCTTACATATTAATCACTAAAGATAGTCAAATAGAACTATGTAAATAATGTCAAATGTTCAACTGTTGGGAGTAAAATGGAACAGAGGAAGTATATATAAAGGGAGGGAAAATGGGATGTTACTTACAGAAAAGTTTTGATATCTAAACAAGTCAAGAAACTGTGAGTCCGACTGTCCAATTTCATTTGAGCAAAGGCAGAGTACATGCGTAATTCCTAGATGCTGGAGTGTGAACACAGATCTTGCAGCCAGTGCTCCGCTTATGAACAAATTATCTGTAATTAATGATGGCTTCTCTGTGTTCGCAGCATCAGATATCAGTGAGATCCTCTCAAGGATATGCTCCAGCCTAACCTGCAAGTTTACATAGATTCACAACAAAATTGTTATACCAGCAAGTTTAAACGAATATTCAGTTACCAAAAATATAAATATACAAGTGGACAAATTGGTTCACACCTTTAACTCATAAGCATCAACCACCGTGTTATTATCACTTCCCTCAAAAAAACCAGAATTAAAATTATTTTCATAACATAATTTGACTACATCATTGCGTAGCGTATCATTCCACAGTTCCAGTTCCTTACTCAGTTCAGCATCAACCTGAAAATATTACAGAGAACTTTCAAATTTGCATGAATAAGAAACTAGTTTGTCAAAAAGCTACAATCTAAACAGCTAGAGTTTTGGGTACAACCATACAACTTGCAAAAGAAACTTCTTGGAGATATACAAATGAAAAGTATCTACACAAAAATGAGGCAAATATATACATAAACATATTGATTACTAGTGATATTAGAGCAAATGAAAGCCATTGGTAGCAAAATTTCTTCTATTCAGCAGTACACTTCATGGAGATTTCAAATCCAACTCTTTCGGCTAGAAATTTAAATATCTATAGCCTAGATTCAGAAGACTTCCATTTGCAAAAAAAAAAATCAATGTATGAGACAGGAACTCTTCGACAACATTTAGAGGGCTGCATAACCATGCTAGGTCACAAATTATCATTTAAAAAAAAAATAATTAAGTAGAGAAACATAGAGTTTAATTTTCAATAGTTAAGTAAAATAAATTGAATATAACGTTTTACACACAATTTTAAAAAATTCAGCATACAAATTAGAAAATGCTAGAAAAATATTTTAAACAAGAGCCAATTATTATATACCTAAAAGTTAAAAATTAAACTTATGTTTTGATCCTACTTATGTCATTATGTGTGTATCAATAGAATAGTTTCATTCAATTAATATGTGCACAATGGGAACTATAACAGGGCATAAGAAGTGACACCTAAAACATTAAATCTACGTTTATTTTAATTCATCTGTGATAAATTGAGATTAATAAAATAAGATAGAATATGTGAATTTAACAAATCCTATTCATGTTGAACAAGAAGACTTTAAGTATGGCTTTTAGATGGAAAAATCTATAGGAGGGTTTATAATTTCCCGATCATATTTTAAACAACATTTTACATACTCGTGCAATGCTAACAACCTGGACAATGCACAGGCTTAACAGCTAGTAGCATTCTAAAGTTAAAAAGAATTCTAAAATCAAGAAATTCTCTTCTTTGTATATGCCTTTTTCAAAAAGTTACCTCCCACACTTTAGAACTCAAACGAGTCATCCACATATAAATTACTAACCTATTCATTATCATAATAAAATTATACCTTGCAACTCTTTTAAATAGATTTTTTAAAAAAATATTTCAATAGGTAAATGCCTTTCCAGAAACTAGCCACTCCCCAAATTTTAGATACTCATAAACTATAAACTACAAAAGGACATGTTGCCGGACTCAATAAAATCATCTATACTTTACCTGTTCATAACAGAATATATAATTACTCTTTCACAGGTGAATTCAAAACTTTTTGGACTGGTATGCAAGTTGTCAACTGTCACCCTACATATTTGAGAGAAACGTGAAACACACCTTTGCATATTTATGGAAGTCTCGAAGCTTTGTTGTCAAGCGCAAGTAACGAACAGGCTCACCACTCCATTTTGCATACTTTCCCTGGGAGCTTTCTCGCGAGCTGGGTGAAATAGAGTCGGAATGATCCTTAGGTCCTGAAGATGATTGCTTTGGTGCAGTTCTCTGTAATTCTGTGTCATTTGACACTGGAGTACTATCGTGTGCTGTGTGATCCTTTGTATGCGAAGCAGGTGAAGAGAAATGGACTCCAGCAGATTTCGGTGACTCAGGGACCATAAAATCCTCTTTATCTGATTCCCCAGCAGAATTCCGGTTAACTATATTCATAAAAGTGCGCAAAACTGTATCCAGCTTTTGGTTCAGAGTAAGCAGGAACATATGAAAACCCTGCATGTCCCTTAGAGCAGCACGAAACCCAATCCGGAATGCTTGAACAATGGACTTCATGTCAGTAGAACAATCATTTATGTTATCAGCTTCAGGATACCCTAATTTACCTCCTGATATTTCATATAGCAGATGTGAAGAATATGTGGAGCTATTCAGAAGCAGCTCCACTAACCTTGGAATAGTTTGCCTGGTCATTAGCACGTTTCCCAGCTGGAGGTCTTCGAGGAACGCCAGAGTCAATGGCCACAATATTAAAATCCGTATCACCCACTTCATCCATATGTTGATCTTCCACAAGTACTCTGCTGGATATTGGCGATTTCATAACATCAGAAAGATCAGACTTTTGTGACTTCATTTTAGTATTATTAGGGTCCAATCTACTGTCAACAGAATTTGCCCTTCTTTCTTTCTGCAGAGCCCTGACCACTCTTGGTCTGAAACGTTTCATTGCAGAATCATATGCATCCTCCAAAAAGTCCCTATTTGCAGAGACATTTTTGTCAGCAAACAATAAATTAGCAAAATTGCCACGCCAGCCTAGCTGCTTACAAGGCAATCTATCTTCGTTTCTGATAACAAGGTCTAGCATCAATATCCTGCCAAGAGCTGATGATATCTTCTCTGCAGCATCTCTGGAATTGAATGCAATTTGATTCTCCAACAAGGGGGAACCATGTACATAACTGCAAAAACAAAAATAAATAAAGTGTCACTCAGAAGATGGGATTTGAAGCTCTAAAAAAAAAATGATTTGCAGTGTGTCAACATAATTTCAGAAATTCCCTTCCCAATGTTCCCTTCCCAATGTTCCCATTATAGTCCCTACAGACTATGTCCGGTGTGGTTGAAGAGATTCCGTCTCATTATAGCCCAAAATCTAAGTCCAATATTGCTACAGTAGCCAAGGCAAATTCTCCACCCTTTTCTTGTTTGTTGGATTTATAAGATTGTCATAAGCAAACTTCTAAAGAGAAAGGAATGTACAGTTTTAGATCTGCATAAATTTCCTGCTTCTAGCATTACAAACTATGTCCACAACCACACACATAGGGGGGCATACTTCATTAAGAAAAGGCATCGGCTAAGTTCAAGAGCTTCAAGAAGCTCAGAGCATGTCACTTCCCCAACTTCATCTCTCTCTGAAACAGCTACTTCTCTGGCCTTTTCAGCAGCCTCCTTTATGCGAAGCCACTCTGAACTGGTGTTATGAATGACTCTTGCCTATAATGAACAAAGTTTATCATGAAACAATCTCATACAGCCAGCTATAGAGTCAGATATTCAAGTGTAAGAGAAAACAACCTGAGGTATTCGAACACCTAGCCACTTTGCTAATTCATAGCCAAAGCGTTCTGATTGTGTGGCCATTCTTGATGAAGAAAACTTGATCACAGCAGCAGTTTCTCGTACTTTACAATCATCATTAACAGTTTTAAACAAAGCAAAGAAGACAACTCCACCAGAGTTGACAGTCACCTGTAGCGAGGATGTTGGGAAACAGTATGGACTTAAAGATTATTTTCAATTCAAAACGTAACAAAGACATAAAATGTAACCCCCACCCCAAGTGAGAAACCAGCTACTTAGGTTGCAAAACAATCCAGACTCTGAAATAGACCATATGTTAACAATGAGAAGAGATAGATATGCAGTGTTAATTACTCATTCAACAATTATTGTACACAACCATTTAAATAAAATTTAGCCAACAAAAAGTAGGGAGACTCAGAGTTGTCCATGAAAGTCATATGATAGCCACTACACATAGAACAATTTCAAATTCTTTAGTAACTGAATCCCACACAAAAGTAGACAAAAGTTTAAAAATAAAAGTTGCATCCAAAGAGAAGCTCATTAAGAAGAAATTATTAATCTCTTTTAAACTTCAATGACTCCTTGATTCTGTTTTAAAATATGTGTCACCAATGTTTCCTCTTTAAAAATAAATAAATACAAAGTAAATGATTTGTTACCTCCAGGGCTTTACTCATATCATCATCAGATTGGTCAGTGCTGCCACTGTGCTCTGTATGATGAAGTGAAGAGAGGTTGTCCCAACAAAAGGTGCTTGATTCAATGTCCAACATAGCAGCTTTGCCAAGCCTTTCCCAAAGATCAATTTCAGTAGCTTGTTCGGAGGGTGAAGAGTCTATTGGGCCAGTAGCTGATTCGCCTGCTCTGTGTAAACAAAATTTTGACATTAAATTAAAGTATTAAACATGCAAGTCCTTCGTTAAAGATTTTTGTCACAAATTGCCACTAAAAATGATTTCACCTATTTTCCTATGCCAATCGATAAGAATGACGGAAACAATTTTCAAATTTAAGAATTCTCTTCAAAATATCACTATTCATAACATGGTCACTAAAAGGGCTATAGAGTGAAAAGGACACGCATTGCCAATGGATTAGAAATCTCATTTATCATGTAGCTGCATCAATTGTGAAATAGAAGCTCCAGATCTATAACTATAGTTTACAAGGGATAAAATCTTCAGTCACCATGTAGCAAAAAGAGATCATGATAATCAAATTTCCAAGAACATGGGCTAATAACTAATCCTAAAACATGTTCATGCTGACACAAGTAATAAAGTGAAGCAACACTATTAGCACCATAGGTATGTTATCTGCTCAGCAATCCTGAACACATCAAAACAAATTCTGATCATTATAATTTCTCATTGATGTAGAACATGATGCTTCTGTGCTACAGTTATATGACTAGCATCTAACAGCCTTTACCTAATATTAAAAGATGGGTTGTGGTCACTAAACCAGGATTCTGAATAGCAGCTATGTGTCTTGGCAAATTGTGCCAAGTATTCAGCTTTCAATTATATAAAGTGCCTCACAAAGAAACCCTCATCACTACAAGGAGATAAATGTGGAATATATAGTTCATCTGACCAGCTTGACTAAAAATCAGCTCCTTCTTTAACACAGGTTAAAGTAAGCACAAAAGCAGAGCTTAAGCTTATACATCTGGGAATTTTACTACAATGATACAGCTTTCAAATTGGCTGTTTATGGAATTTCAAAGTTAATATGGAGGGGGGGGGGGGGGGGGGACGCACAACTGCTACTGTAATCGGTCAAGGTTGTTCAAAAATCCAAGACCTCTTGAGTAATAAAATACCCAGTATACAATAAGGATATTGTCTACATTCTCTCTATTAATCTATTTTCCCTTGTAAAATGATAATATTGATTTGTCACCTTCAATTATGCATACATGAGCAAGGTATGAAGAAAACAGTTTCCTTGTAAATAAAATACAATTTTAGGATGAGTTTACTAGTTATATTAAAACAATTTTGTCAAATCCCTAGCTTTAATTTGCTTGAAGAGTTCAAGCCCCTCCCCCCCCCCTCCCCCTCTTTCAAAACAATAAGATTTTTTGTAATTTAAGGTCATTCTTCCACTTTTATCCAATCTTCTCCCTATCTCCTATTGGAGATATAGTTTTCTTTTCATCCCCTACAACCACACTCACAACCTCGCCACCTGGTTTTCACCATTGTTGATTAAAATTTGTACTATCTTGAAAAAATGTTCTCAAATTAGGATATTGGTAAATTGATTCATTTGTTATTCTTGATGTGAGGACAACATTCACAACAACCTTTTCATTTTTATAGGGAACAGTGATAAATTTTTATCTATAGTACCCATAACAGGATAAAATTTTGAGATTAAAAATTTGCCTAATATTTTTCCTCAACATGTTGATCACTTATACTCTCTCCATCAGCCCACATTTGGTTAAATTGATTGAGGTCAAAATAAGTAGCAATACATTCCAAGTCAGCAATATGTATTCTCTCAAGATCACTTCAAAGGATTTGTTTATGTTGTCTAACTCTACCATTGCCCTTGTCAGATTTCAGCAAGATATACTATGTTGGCATGTTGCCAATGATAGTTTTGCCAACTATGTTTTTCAAAAAAGGGCATTACGGTTCCGTTGATGAGAATGAAATACTCGTAAATCTTTAACCTACTCGTTGAACAGCTCAAATGTAACTATATCACTAACATCTTTAAAAGCGTTCATTGCCCACTCCCACAAATATACTGTTAGTCATTTAACTGAATGTACCCATCATCATAATTTCCTCTGCTCACCCTTGAATGTCGGACGTGGTTGAAGCTCTATATCATCTTTATCCATTTTCTATACTTCTCATATTTATAATTTCTCTGTCTCCATTATCTAAGGACTACTAGACTAGTACAAAGATAAATGAAAAAGGACGTTGGCAATACAAGATCAAGCTAATAACTATAGTAACTCGGCACACAAGATGACAAAAATCATCAATTAACCTTTTGACAACGCAAAGAAAATGTTTGATTATTCAATAATGCAATGTTTGATAAAACTAGCAAAACAAACAGGGTTATGGGATTGGAAAAAGGAAATACCTCAAGGACTTATCAAGATCCAAACTCGGGGGACGGTGAGGGAAGCCGGAAGACCGATACTGAGCGGTTCGCTTACGAACCAATTCTAACCATTGTGTGAACCTATAAGCCGGGCCAGCAGTCAAGTCACCCAACATATACAACACCTGCATTCCATTCATTCAATCTCATCAAACTCTCATTCCACCAATTAACAAATCAAACCCATTTCCTAAAATCAAATTTTAAAAAATAAAATAAAAACCCATATCAAGAATTTCAAGAAACAAACCCTAGAAGTAACAGTAAGCGGTAAGGGGTTTCAGGCTCATCAAATCCAAACTCAAATTCCTTGCTTCTTTGATCTTCCTCTGCTCTGTCCTGCAAATTCGACATTCATACAATTCAAAATATAAAATACCCAATTAAAATCCAATCAAATCAACTCTATTCTAGTTTAAATCTCATCAAATTTCACACCTTAATTCCTAGAAAGATTGTAACTTTTCATACTAATACTCATCAGAGAGTACGAGAATATTTATAGGAGAGAGAAAAATAAACCTGGAGCATGGAAATGATGATTGGATCCTGCTTTTGTTCTTCATCTGTCATTTTATTTATTTTATTTTTTTAAGTTTTTTGGGAGTTGATGGATTCAAATGAAATGGGCAACTGATATTCAGACAGATGTTGAGTGTTGGTAGTTTGTTTTTGAAAGATAGCAGTTTTTGAACATTTTCCCGCTTTTTTTGGGGAAAAATGGTGATCAAGTTTTGATGGTGCTGAAGTTGGGAGTTTAGGGGTTTTGCAGGTTTTGAGATCTTCAATAGATAATTCCAAAAATGGCGGGGAACTCTCACGGAAATTTAGGTGTTGTCCAACTCTAATTTAATTGGATCTGATTTGGACTTAAACCTCACTTGCTAAAAAAAAGAATTAAACAGAATTGATATATTTTGAAGTCTCTTCTTGTAAATGTAACTCCGCTCTATGACATAGTCAAGTGGTTAGACCTTTTCCTTAGACTTCAGGAGATCATGGTATCGATGCTTATCTTCGTCTATGAGACTCTCATAACACCCCAAAAAAAAAATAGTGTGGGTCAGGATTTGGGTTGGGTCAATTCAGGTAAATGGGTTGGATTTAGTTCGGGTTAGTGTGGGTCAGGTCAATTTGGGTTGGGTCAATACAGGTTAATGTCGTAACCTATGTGGGTCAGGTTCGGGTTGGGTCATGCTTGAGTCGAGTCGGGTTCGGTTCAAGTCAATAATTTGCGGGTTATAATCAGGTCGGGTCATTATCGGGTTCGTGTCGGGTTTGGTTCAAGTCAATAATTTGCGGGTTACAATCAGGTCAGGTCATGTTCGGGTCTCAAATATTGGGTTAATTTGGGTCTCGGGTTAATTTCAAGTCGAGTCATATAGGGTTCGAGTATATAGAGTAGTTTTAGCCTTACGAAGTTACAACTTTACGAGTAGCTTAGAATATATTTAGTATATATTCTCTAATTATTGTATATATCTTTATTTAGCTAGTCAATATCTAAAATAATAAAGATATATACAATAATTAGAGAATATGTGCTAACTATATTCTACCCCTTAAAAAGCACATAGCTATAATTAGTTTATGTAAAGAGTCGTATATTGAATTATTGACTATTGAACTTCTCATAGTAACTTGTTTACACAAGCACATAACTACACAAATGACACACACAAGATGTCATTAATTTCATATAATATAATCTTATATTCTTATTTGCGTGGCGAACATCATATTCTTAGTAGAAATAATTTAGAAATGAGTACGTAACTATATAACTATATATTGATAAGGTGGTCTGAATTAAATTTAAGGTGATTTGAAATCGGGTTAGGTCAATAATAGATTAGATGGAGTTCGAAATGGGTCAGGAACAATTCGCGTTGAATTTGGGTCGGGCAAGTCGTGTTGATTTTGGGTTAGGTTAGTAACAGATTGGGTTGAATTTCGGGTCTGGTTAGTAACAGGTCGGGTTAATTCGGGTCGGATAAGTAACAGGTCGGGCTAAAATTCGGGTCGGGTTAGTAACAGGTCGGATTGAATTTGGATCGGGTTAGTAATAGGTCGGGTTAAATTCGAGTTTTGACAGGTTAAAACGGGTTTGGGTCAATCTCGGTTCAGGTCGGGTTCGGTTCAGGTCAATAATTTACGGGTTATATTCAGGTCAGGTCATCTCTAGGTCGGTTCATGTTCGGGTTCGGGTCTCAAATACTCGGGTTTAGGATTGGTTTCAGGTCGGATCATATCGGCTTCGGGTCAGATCAGCTTTTGACAGCTCTACATATTACTAATTGTTAGTAAAACAAGATATCTTATATATAATTTAAGAGTTGTTTTTCCAACTTTCATTCACAACATTCCAAATTCTCATCCTTGCAATTCTAGTCCTTTTATTTTATTTTATTATTTTTTTTTTTTGTAAAAAATAACCAATAACCACCCTTTTTACTCATAACTACCCATATTACTCAATTAAAATAAAAAAAATAAAAATAAAAAACCACCTTTCAATAACTTTCACTTCTACAGTTTTTTTTTCTTCCTAAACATACATACTACATATATCTAGTGCATGAGCACGAGTACACTCTAGTTAAAATTAATTGATATTATTATACACTAAAATGTGTCTCTTCAAAATAAATCCCGACGATGGTACATATATCATCATCTAATATGATACACGCTGTGTAATTGATCCAAAATTTGCTTAAATATTCCTTATTTTCTAATCTGTTTAACCTTTTAAAATGACCCAAAATCCGTAAACATTATACCGATTTTCTCTTCTCATTACCTTAGTCAGAAATCGAGCCTATTTGATTTTCGAGCCTCCGAATTTGTACATGAAACTTATAGGATAGCCCTTGAAATAACCAGTTTAATGATATGGAGTATATCATAAGCCCAAATCTTATTTGAAATGAAGGAAATATGATCAAAATACTAAATTGGACAAAAATAATATTTGCCTAATTCCAATTAGGTTAAAATTGTTAGAAAGTAGACTTTCATATGATATATTATATGCCTTATTCCGAGTTCGCGATCAAAAGTTATAATATATATATACAGACGCTAATTCCTAACTTAAAACATTAATTTCCCGTCTTTTCTATCAATTCTTAATCTTCAATCTATAAATACTCAAGCTTTTATGAGTTCGGGGCATCAACCATTAACCTCCAAAGAGCCAAGGTGTGATTATTTGGCGTTCGATTTCAGTTTTTATTTTTTCTAATGATTTATTGAAGATGTAGCCTTCAAAGTGCACGTACGTTTGAAGTAATTAACTATATATTTAAAGATTTAATCACCTTTTTGCTTTGCTTACTAGTACGGTAGTACCATGTTTAGGCAATTCTGATTTCTTATATTGTTATGCATGCTTGGTTGATTTCAATATATACTGCTATACATATCTTATTGTTTTATTTGCATATAGATCGGTATTTGAATAGGACTATTAAGATAAAATGACTTACTCGTTCATTCTTTTTTGTTAAGTGAGAAAAAGGTCATTCTAAAAAAAATAAAAATAAAAATCCTCCCTAAATGACTAGTAAGGTTCAACTCCTAGACTCACACATGAAAGTTAAAACTCGCCAATTGTTTTATGCTCATACAAAGACTAGTAAGGTTCAACTCCTGAACTCACACTTGAAAGTTAAAGCCAGTCAATTGTTATAGGAAAAATTAACAAGAAAGGTCCCAACTATTACTAGTTTTCTTTAAAAGGGCCAACCTTTTGATTAACTTTGGACGGACCCAACTATTTTGTATAGTTCACACGCGAGAACCCAGCTTGTATCCGACTTGCTATTGTAGGTAAAATATGTCACGTGTATATCACGTGACCTTGAATTTACAAAAATAAAAAATTTCCCCTTTCTTTTTGATTTCGATAAAACCTCTCTTCAATATTGCAATTTTTTCTTCTTCTCTTAAAATTGTTGCAACTTTATAAATCTTAAAATTATTGCATAAATCAATTCAATATGCATAGTGGCAAGCAACAATCGTCGGATTAGACTACAAGTTAAATTATGTAATAGGAATTTACATAGTTATTAATTATCTACCAATTTATGTAATAAATGAGCAAAATCTGCATTATAATGGATTAAATATTGCCACAACCACCTCACGTCCCTACCAATTGATAAACCACCACCATCAAAGCAAACCCCACCCACAAAACCACCAACCCAGACCGATTAACCCATCCATCTCCATAGTAAGTTTTAAAAAACCCACCCACTCAACCACCACAAAATTGTCACCAAGAACCTGCCCATCTACAACATCGCAATATTACACTCCCATCAATAACCTTTTCGAAGCCACCAAGGCACCAACTCACCCCTACAACAACCCACTTGCCCATGTTAGTGACGCCACCATAAAGCCCCCAACACAATAACCTTATCAACCTTCGCCTAGAGAAATTGATGGCCATATATGATATATAGAAGAGAAGGTTAAGCAAAGAGAGAGAAGATGAGTAGCCATCAATTGGCCATGGTTGTGAGATAGTGGAAACGTTGGTTGTCAGTTTGAGGTGGCTTGAGTGTTGTGGATGGAAAGTTGTGGAGAGAGAGAAAGAATGGTTGACTGGTGGTTATATTGTGGAGACTAGGAAGACTGAGTTGTGGTAGCTATGGCGTAATAGGGCAAAAAATTGAAAATATTTTTTTAATTAATAAGTTTACCGGTTCAACAGGTAACAAGTTACACTAGACTGTTTTGAGAAAACCTAAGTATAGTTAGGTCTGTCCAAAGTTAATTAATAAGTCGGCCCTTTAAAGAAGATCAGTAATAGTTAAGACCTTTGTTAATTTTTCCATAGTTATATGGTCATATATGTAGTTCGCATATTAGATGCTTAAGAACTGTAATTGAGAATGGAAATAAGTAATAAAAGCAAAATGACAATTTCTAATGAACAACTTAGCTTTTTTAGTCTTTTACTCATAAAAATATTATCTTAATTGATATAGAAGACAGAAAGTCAACATGAGATTGAGAATATGACTATTCTAAACAAATATACTAGTACATACTAGTAAATAAACAAAAAAAAAAAGTGAACAGAATGAAAGAAGTCATAGATGTAGAAAAAAGGAGTTTTATTCATTTTTTTCTCTTGGATTCCTTTTGTACAAAACTTGAGCGATCAACACTCAAACCACACACACAGGAGACAGGCACTCACTTCCTTAAACTAAATACTCAAAATCCCCTTTTCCTATTTGACCTTTTTTGCTAGGTCAGAAAAGGCCACTCATTCTTTTTTTTCTTCTGTTTCAACTAACATAACACAAAGAAGCAATTTTACTTTACAATTTCCAACTTAATCTAATTAAATTCTGAAAAAAAAAATAATCACTATCCCTTTTTGCCATCTTAAAGATTTTGAATTTTTAGAATGAGATCAGTTTAAAGCATCTGAGGAAGGGGCCTGCTTTCAAGAAAGGACTTGAACAGCACAAGTGATCTCGCCGGCTGAGAGTAAGGAACTTCATGTGCAGCCCCTCGTACAGTTGCAAATGTTAATATATTCCCATATGATTCAGTCCATCCACCAACCTGCATTATCAATGCACATTAGGTTGATCAGATTTCAGACTTGGGTCATTAATTGAATGGATTAAGAAATGGAAAACATCATAAGGATACGTATAAACAGCTTTATATTCCAACCTGTTCGCCAGCAAACCAAACTCGGTACGGAGTGGTTGTGTTCAGCCCTAGTTTCCCAGCTAGTTGATGCACAAGTGTGCGGCTTCCAGTTAGTGGAATAACTGAATCTTGATCCCCGCTGTTATGATCATCCAATTTTAACAACAAAGTCAGTATCCACCAATTTGCTACCGCACATATTAGCCATGAGACTTAATATGGGAAATCAGTTTTACACTTGCAACACCCTTGTGTACTCTAATTTCTAGGCTCCTCTTTTTTAGAATACAGTTTGATACTCGACTCACAAATTTGGAATGCAAAGTAGAGCGGATTGAAATCACTCTAATAAGCTAGGCCAGATTGCTCGGGTAATTAATCAGGATTGGCCCAAATGTATTTTAGACCATGATTGGTCTTTGGCCTGCCTGATCCCAGGGCCAAATTTGGCTGACATTTTTTTGTCACGGTCCCGCCCATGATGAACACTCTAATGTAAAGTATGACTTTTGAAGTACTAACATCATTTCCCTTTTGACACTAATAACTTGTATGGAGCTTTTTAACTTTTAAAGAGCATAAAATGCTTAAAAAAAACTTTATACCTGTAAACTAAGACAGGGATTCCATTCTTGACAAGTGATCCTACAATGGTTATTGTGGGTATCTCTACATCAAGGAGCTCATAATCCAAAATGCTGCCACCAAAAGAAAAAAAAAAATATAGGTTGTTACTTGTATGTTGAAATGTCTACAGTTCAGACCAAAAAAAACTTGTTAAAAGAGAACTTTACTTGCTGCACACAGTCCATTGACGAACATTAACTAGCCGGGCATGAAGAGCCTTCTGCACATCTTTCTGGTTCAAGTAGCTCACGGTCTCATCCTCGATACAGACATCTATGCTCTCACCGTTTTGCTGAAAATTATGACCACAAAATGCAAATTGCTTAATATACCAAATAAGTACAGTTTGCTGGAAAATCAGAACCCTTTTTGTTTAAAGGAATTATAAAAGGTTGGAGGATCATGTTACCTCCTGGGGGCTAATAATCTTAGATTGAGATAGCACAGAAGATATACAAACGTCGAGGGTAACATCATACTTGTCCACAAATTTGCTTGTTTCCATACCAACTTGCCTCATCACCTTGGAACATACTGGTGAAACATATCCTCGATAATACTCACTCACATATCTTGAATAATTGCAGGCTTTGGTAAAAATTTTGTAGGTTGAATCCGATATTAATCCATGTGACCAGAAATACTCTGCCCTCGAGTTGAAATCTGTAGCAAACTCCAAAACCGGGTTTCCAAGCTGGCATTATATCATTCCATAACACCCATGTTTAGGAAACTTTTTATCTTAAAAGACATAAAAATGATTATAAATTGTTGCCCTGTAGGTTTGCTAAATAAGGTTAATTATTACCATTACTTTACGATGTGTCGTGGGAGTGTGAGAACTAGGAAGTTTGTGTACAATGGCCACAATCTAATTGTAGCAATCATGAAAGAAAAAAGGATAGTTTGACATGAATAAACCCAAATATTACCATCTCAATTTTTGGGTGTCTTCTCAAAAAGCCGAAGTGACACAATTCTCTTACATAGGTAAAAATATTTACCCAACTATTAGGTGAAAGATAATTTGGACCAAGGTTCTAATATATTCAGCTTATTTTGACTGGTTTAATATTTCATACACTATTTCAGACAAAATAAGTTTTTTTCCGACAATCTTATACACAAGCAAGTTTTCAAACAAAATAAGTTTTTATTTAGATAAACAAAGTTCAGAAGTTTAGATATAGACAATATAAGTTGTATAACCTATTTATGGGAATAAAATCAAAAGTTCAGATTAGATCAACAAGAAGAATGATTGGCTAAAACCTGACAATAGTCATAATATTCTTCTTATAAAAATACTACTTTAATTAAACCAATAAACCCTTTTCAAATAGTATGAAAATAAGCATGAATTTGACACATACCGCAACTCCTTTCAAGTTAAACACTTTCTCCTTTTTGTTGAATTGGACCATCAGATTTGCAAGTTGAGGAATATAGTGGCCTACATCATTTAATATAATAACTCAGAAAACCATGTGATATGCACCAAACAAAATTTTAATTTCTAAGTTTTATTTCATACAATTCTTTTACTATAAGAAATTTATACCTGCATAACTTTCTCCTGTTATGAACAGATCCCTGTGTTTATACTGTGGAAATTTGTTAAACCATCTTCTCAGAAAAACTAAGTTATCCCTGGCTTAACACACAAAATTTATAAACAAATTTAGAACAGTTATATAAGGAAAGCATACAAATTTAATCTCAGATCAAAAATAGAAACTTTATATTTTAATGGGCACATTTTAAAATGTTCAAATATTTACATAATTCTGTTTTCTGCAGCAAAAATACCTGTAACAGCATCACTAACTGCATCATATCCAGTAATGTCAACTGAGTAGGAATAACCAACTCCCACAGGTGTCTCCAAATACAACATATTAGCTTCTGCAAAACCACATTATACCCAAAAATAACATCAGTTGTCACAATAATTTGAATATACTACTTGGGATTTAGTTGTTACATTACTTGTCAGTCTAACGAACACTATCAACGTGACAATTACTTCCAAACTGATAAACTAACAATCACTACACTATCACTGTGACTATTAATTCGAAACTGGCAGTTTAACAAACACTATCAACGTGACTATTAATTTCAAGTTGGTTTCCGAACAATAACACTATACCTCTGTTCCAGCTGTGTTCATTTTTCACCAGGATATTCCCTTTAGGCCTGAAAGGTCCATTTTCAGAAAATGCACCAACCCCGAGGGAAGAACAACCGGGTCCTACACCAACAACAATTAAAAAAAAAAAGGGTAAATTCACAAAATGTGCAAAAAGGAATATTTGTCTGAAATTCAGCTTTTAAAATTTTATTTTTCAATAATTTAAACTGTACAACTTTTGAGTAAAAAAAAATGAAGCAAACCAACCTCCATTGAGCCAGAGAACTAAAGGCTTAGAAGAAGGATCAAGTTCAGCTTCAACAAAGTAGTAAAACAGTGATTTATGCTTCTTTTGATCCACAGTAACATACCCAGCAAATTGTTTGAAATTGACTTTGGGTTGACCTGGTAAATTTACTATCAAATCACTCGAATTCGAGCTCGAAAAATGATGGTGATGGTGTTGAAGTTGATTTCCACATACATTCTTGTAAAACAAGCAAATTTGTGCAAGAAGGAGAATTGTAGTACAAATAGCAATTCTTGTAACAAGATTAAAAGAAGAAGAAGACATTGAATTTGTTTTGGTGGGGGGTGTTTTAGGAGAGAGAAAGGGAGGAAAATGGAGGTGGGATTTGGGGTTGTGGTGTGATGTGGGTGTGTTGTGAGAAAGAAGTTAAAATAGGCTAGTTGGGTTGTCTTTTGTTATGATTACATTTTTAGCTTTTTTATTTTGTGAGTGTGGCAAGGGCTTACATGAATAGAAAGGTATTTTTTTTCATTTTTTTTTTGTTTTTTAATGGCAAATAGGATCTCAATCGAAGTTTAATTTTAAGTCCTTGTTTAGTTGACACGAGAATTAAATTTACGTATGATGTTGTAGTTTATGAAAAGTTATTTTTTGAATGAATTTTTCTAGAATTTTTTTAATTTATTTGGTTGGTAATATCATAATTTAAAATTTCCATTAATTTTGATTGATTCGGAGACTCGGTAATTTACTTTCTATGTTTTTTGAAAAAGTTGAAAATCCCATAAATTCTCATTTACTCCATTTTTGCAATTGTGTGCAAACCAAATAACTATCCAACTTATTAATTCTCATGAATTTTTACTTCCCTCATTTCATGTTGTCAACTAAACAAAGGCTTCACTTTTTGTTTTTATTAAAAAATAAAAAATAAAAAAAAATAATAAAAAACTCTCAATTTCAAAGCACCTCATTTGGTAAGATTTGAACGGCATACATCAAAGATTTAAAGATAGACTATAAAGTAATCAAAAACAACATTAAATGTGGAATGTAGAAATTCGTAGGAATTGATAAGTTAGATAGTTGTTTGATAGGCATTCAAATGCCAAAACGAAAAACTAAATAAATTATCCAGCCTTCCATAGTCAATTAAAATTCATATTACCAACTAAATAAATTTAGAAAATTCTTAAAGCTTTATTAAAAATAACTTTTTATTAATTATAATTGATATTTAATTTTCATATCAAGAAAACAATGCCTAAGAGTTTTACTAAGCAAATCAAGTCTTACTTTTAACATGACAGGGGTGGTTAAAGTGAAAGGGATACTATTGGGTAGATGAGAAAACTAGAAATTGTGGGGCTTGTGCTTATCTGGGATTTTTGAGTAAGCATACAAGTGGGGTCATTTTTTATTTGTTTTGATTAAACTAAAGGAGAGTTTGCTTGTTGTTGCTTTGGAAATGTCATCATTTTTTTACTGTGTTTGGGCTAATTCTTGTGTAATTAATAGCATAATTTATGATTAGGAGAAACAATTGGTCAAATAAGGATCTTGCATATAATCACTGGCATGCTCAGTGCTGGTTAGAGAGGATTTAGAATTCGACATGGGCCATGCCGATATGTAGCCAATGTAGGTTCATAAGCTGTTTAGGCTTTGATACAAGATTGGTCTAATTGGGGCACAAGCCCGTCGTAAGTCTAGCACAACAAGAGAGAAATGGTGATGGGTTATGCCTACAGCTTGGCGCAAGCTCGACACGAGCATGATGAATTGATTAGAGATTATTAGGGATACCTTTTGGCACAAACGTAATTGCAGATTGGCATGAGTTCAACACAATACAACTTTTTCTTAATTTGTTTCAAGCACTATTCAAAAAAAAAAATTAAATTTGTTTCAAGCACAAAACTTGCTTGCATAACACATGACCTAACACTACCCAACCCAATAGGCTAGAAAGATGTCACCCTAGGTATGGGCACATGGCCCAAAGTCTTTCTACTCGTATCACAATACAAATAAAACAAAACAAAAACAGATCCAGCAATATTTAAGAGATGAAGAGAGTACATAAAACACCCACCTTAACCCAAAATCTATTATTAGGTCAATATGAATTATGCGTGTTTCCAACAAAGAAAATGATCTCCAAAAACAGTAAAAAATTTGACAGCATGCAAATGGAGTATTTGCTTTAGATAGCTTATATGAGAAGATGTATGATGATGATGACTTGTATAAGTGAGTCACTTTTAGTTGTCAAATTTCACTTTTAGATGTTATTCTTCTTGGTTGAGCCTTGTAGATTTGCAATATTCATGTATGTCAGAATCGGATATTTCATATCTGCTCCAATTCTTGCCGTAGGGTATATGCATGCATCATAAAAGCCTATTTCGTCAAGTCAATCCACCAAAAAGAATGCTTCTAACCACTACACAATTTTACAATAGAGCTAACCTTAATACAGTGGCGGAGCCAGGATTTGTAATCCGGGGGGACAATTTTTAGATGTTTAATAATCGACAATAATTATAAGAAAAAAGAAATTGATCACATAAATTGTTTAATATATATTTGAAATCGCTTATGAGATATGACAATTATTCTTATATGGTGAAAGAGGAGTTGTTAAAAAATTAATTGCATATTAAGAAATTTATTAACCAAATTTTTTTTTTTTATGCTGGTAAACCCCAATTTTAAGGTATGTAATCCTTAATAATCGATAAATATGATTTATCAAATGATAAGCATTTACACAAATTGATAGTAGATGTAAAGGGATTTGGGTTACATTTTAAAAAAAAAATAATAATAAATAAATAAACTTTCTTTGACTAAAAATAAAATTGGAAACTTAGTTCCAAACAAGCTATAAAAAAATAGAATTTAGGCACACATAATTAGAGAGATAAAAAAATACGGAGACATGTGTTCATTACAAATAGTTTAATAACACATTAGTAATCACTATCAACAAGGCGATACTTGATTAAACAGTTAAATGAGAGTAATTAGAGGTTTGAAGACTTATAATACTTTGTATATATAAATTACATACTATATAATGAAATTTAAAAACCAGTAAAAAAAAATGGCAAAATCCAAAAACAAGAAAAAGAAGTTAAATAGGAGCACTTTGTATAAACTATAAAATGAAATAAAAATAAAGTCCAAAAATAGCAAAAAGAAACAAAAAAAAATGATCGGGTAAAGAATCAAACCTAGGATCAAAGAGAAATACAAGCTTTACTCAAGCCCATCAACCACCAGACCAAATGTTGTCTTTGTTATATAAGGTATACATGTAAGGTATTTATTCTTATTTACAGCATTTATTTAAGCTAACATAAATTAAATTTTTTTTTGGAAAAATGGGGGGACAACCGTCCCCCTTGTTCCTACATGGCTCCGCCCCTGCCTTAATACATGGGAGTTATTATATTATGATTATGTACTAAATTTCAGCCCAAATTATGCCATCTTTCAAGCTTAAACCTTTTTTTATTAAGTAAAAATAATCCCTTTTTTTGGATGTGTGTAAAAAGAATATATCGTTATGTTCTTTTTTAATTACTCATGTATGTGACTTTCGACTATAATCCTAGCCTGGAAAAATAATTAGATGTGATAATAGCGGATTTTAGCTAGGTTTTGTAAGAAGTTAGACTCTATTTAATTCAATTAATTTTGTCTAATATCTAAATTTATACGAAGTATTATTTGAATTCATTTTCACTATAGAATTTCAATAGTCTATATGTGATCAGTGTATCAGTATTATATTTCAAGTTATTTTTCCAAAATATTACAAATAAGATATAGTGATACTTTGTCCATTATCGTGACATCATCCATGTAGGTTTAATAGTAAGGAGCATAAATAAACTTTTTTTTTTTTTATTTAATTTTCGTTGAGACGAAACCACTAATTGGAAGCCCTTCATTATGATGACATAAATCGAAAATTACCAAGTCCCTTCACTTGTCCATTCTTCCCTTGAAAGAAACCAAAACTCAAGTGATTAACCCAAAACGTTGGAGATTGAAATTAATTCTTTTTTCTGAATTCAATAATAATAAGGCCCTGTTCTTTTGAGCTTCTGGGCAGAGCAGAGCATATTTCAGCAGAGCAAAGCAAAGCAGAGTAGAGCAGAGCAGAACAGAGCAGAGCAGATTTCAGCCGAGCAGAGCAGAGCATAGCAGATTTTATTATTATTATTATTATTATTATTATTATTATTATTATTATTATTACTACTACTATTATATTATTATTAAATATTAATTATTATTATTATGATTATTACTAATATTATCGCATTATTATTAAAATCATTAAATTTTTAAAGTTAAATATTAATTATTATTATATTAATTATAATTATTATAATTATTATAATTATTATTATTAAAAATTAATAATTAGTATTATCTTTAAATATTAGTCATTATCTTAATATTAATTGCTATTATAAAAATCAATTATTGTTATTATAATTAATATTATTAGTTACAAATATTATTATTACTGTTAGTATAATTACTATTGTTATTACTATTACTATTATTATTATTATTAAATATTAATTATTATTGTTATTATTATTATTATTATTATTTTTATTAATAATTATTAATAATTTATTATTATTATTATTATTAAATATTAATAATTTTTTTTTTTTATTTTTTATTAAATATCAATAATTAATTATTGTTATTATTATTATTAAGTATTAATTATTATTATAATTAAATATTAATTATTTATTATTATTAAATATTATTTATTTATTTATTTATTATTATTATTATAAAATATTAATTATTATTATTATTAAATATTAATTATTTATTATTATTAAATATTAATTATTATTATAATAATTTAATATTAAGTATTAATTTTAAACAGAGCAGAGCAGATTGAAGCAGAGTAGAGCAGAGCAGAGCAGATTTCAGCAAAATAGAGCAGAGCAGAGTAGAGCAAAGCAGATTTCAGCAGAGTAGAGCAGAGCAAAGCAGCTCTAAAGAACGGGGCCTAAGTTTAGTTTAATCAAATTTGGTAGCGAGATTAGCGAAACCACATGCCTAAACAAAGAGGCAAGAGCCTAAGTAAGCACTTTTTAGTGAGCAGTTAGAGGAGTGTCTTATTACATCAGAAACACATAAATTTAATATTTAATTTAATATAAATATATATAAAGGTAAAAAAAGTTAAGAGAATTTTTTTATTTTTTCCAAATTAAATGAACCACAAAGGCATTATAAATTGCAAATGAGAGAGGGTAAATTTAAATTTGTGAACTATCTTGCACAGGCCCGCTCTTTGCTGTTAAGGCTGTGTACTGTTCACCCCAAAAAAAAAAAGTTAAAAGAATATATATATATATATAATATATATATATATATATATATATATATATATATAGTACACAAGTTCAAGTTCAAATAAATTTAAGTGACGAAGAAAACGCTCCAAAAAAAGAAAAAGAAAAAAAAAACCTCAATATAGTCCAAATACTATACAAATAGTATGAAAGTGGATAACATCGTAGTATAGGTAATATAGGTGGGTATCATCTTGTTCATATGGCATGCTTTGGTTGAGATTATCTTTATGTATTTATGTGGGATTAAGGTTTGTTCTCTTTGACCTTTGTGAAAAATAAAATTAAAGGTAGGACCTTATAATAATAATAATTATGAGACACCCTCAATTATGAATGGGTAATTTTACACACTACCACAAACCTTCATCATAGCTCTCTTACAATGGTCCCTCCAATTTTTCAGAATTTTTGGTAGATGAAACTTGTTGGATTCATCTTTTTTTCAAAAGTTGGCTTTCTTTTCTGGGTTTTTTTTTTTTGGGGTGTTGTAACCCACTTTACATTAATATATTAACTGCCAAATATAAGGACAAGATGGAACAACTATAAAGTATACAA